TAAAGGATAAATACTTAGGATTTCTTGAAGACTTCAAAATAATATGGAAGCAAAGATAACAAGGTTTAATTTGAACTTTCTGTACTGGAGAGCAGTGTGACCAATGTCACACTGAAGGCTCAAATACTTTTCTCTTCAGTTGTGTTGTTTATATTCACTGAGTTCACCTCATTTCCAAGCTTTAAGCTTCACATATTAATTTGGGTATAACTGAATTTTCATTCAATAATACTGGTCAATCTAATGTTAGCTAACGCAGTCTCCATGTTATGGACTCAAAAGTTGCCATCATGCCACGTATGAACGCAATAATCTCTGTGAGCATTATTAATTCACTGTTATGTCGTTCTCTTTACCTCCTCTGAAGTAAAAGCTATGATCGATACTGTTGCCAAACAGTGTTCTTTAGAGACTATCAGCTATTAGAAATGTTAATTTAGTAATGAAGCGAAATAACAACTTAATTAAAGATAGTAACGAACATTTTATTGGTGTTTTTAATAGCTAAGTATGCAGTTTTTGAAGTGAAATACTGAAACTAAAATAAGCTTCATTATTTTTAGTATCTCTGAAGTGTGTTGTATAACTTTGCATATTTTTGTTGAAAAGATCCTGAATTTTTTTGGCTAAATGGTTCAAAATTAAAGTTTTAAAATCAACTACACGTAATGTAAACTATTAATATGTGTTATGCTTTCACCCGAGACTTGATTAATGCCCACTGCGCCAACAGGATGAGAAAGACTTGAAATCTAGTCCTAGAATTAACTTGTTGTGATTCAACAAACCACATTCTCATTTGATAATAATGAAATAGTTAGCTTCACTTTCGTAACCGAGGCTATTTCATGAAAACTATTTAGGGATTTTTCAATAACTAATGATGTGAAAGGAATTAATAGAATAATGCCTAATTTCTTCCCTTTATGACACGTGTATCATCGGCATTCCCCAGTTGTGTTAACTTCAATTCTGTTCCTCTTTTTATATGAATGAAGTAATCAATTCAGAAGCAGTTGGAAGTGAATTAGTGAACAGAAACTTTGTTTTCTAGAACAAAGTTTCTTGTCTAGTTTCATTGGCTCAGCATCAAGATTAAGACGATTAGCGATGTTGACAATATTTTAAAGTTAATAAATTTAAACTGAAATCTCTTATTTCACTTGAAGTTTGAGTGTGTACAATACATTTAATTGTGAAAAGTTAGGAATTGTAGCACTATACGTATAATTAATCATAGGTGATAGTGTTAATTCATGAAGACTTAAATAAAAGCATTAGTCTGTTGCTACATGTCGTCTTCAAAAGTAATCAGAGCGACTTCTTGATTAGTTAAATGGGTGATATACTATATGAGTATAAACCTGCATTATCTGCATGTCTTTCCAACCAAGCTACTGCTTCAGGGTTAGGATTGCTAAAGACACACATTTTAGATGAAATTTTGACTTTCATGAAACAGCATACTGAATATCCTGTGTATGACTGAAAGACACAAAGGAGTTCATCAAAGGAGTTATTTATCTGCTGTTCGGTACGCAGATATACTCAAAATATGTTTACCGTATCACAGAATCATCATTTGCACATATCTTCGGTATTGTGCTACTTTCGTCTTCTGTATTGTGCTTCTTTGCCTTCCTTTAGTTTTCTCCATGTTGTTTCATTGGTACTGTTCATTTTTTCCACTTTACCATAAAATTTACCTCTCCGCTATTCAATATTCCTACAGGTCATATACAGATTTACATTTGTAACCATATACTACTTATAAATCTAGTTAGTAATACGCGTCATACACGTACTAGTATATTAGATTTTTCCTCTTTGTTGTACTTAAAATCAGGTCCACTTTTTCTTTTCCACTTAATTCTCTTCTTTCATGTACCAAGTAATCTGTATGTATTTCCGATGTTTCGATCTGCTACACAGAAGTCGGCTGTGTATAGCAGATAAGCAGACATGAAATACAAGGACACTGGTCTACTGTGTCACATTGGCCTCACTAACCTAGTTTAATATCATAAAACTCATCCACCTAGCGTATATTTCTTATCCTTTTTAAAGTGTGGTCATGGAATTATGTGTATATTTATACAATTCTATTGAGGATCAATACCACTAATTTATACATTTTACTGTAGGTCATATTTTTACTAGACACATGGGAATCAGTCTCTGTTTATTTTTTCCCCTGCGTAATCTATTTTCATTAAGTCTTCAAGATGCCGTAAAAAACTTTATTTCCACTATATTTTCTGTTTATTTATTATTATTTTATTCCACCCAAAAAACAAATTATTTCTCAGAAGATGTTTGTGAAATAACTTATTTAATCATAAATACTTTTTTAGTTGAAATCCAGAATCTAAATGCAGTACAGCAGCACTCTTGGTAACGGTGATTTAAAATGATTGACCTAGACAACAAATTAAGGTGTATTAGATGGTTAATAATGATAACAACTGGTTGATTGAAATTCACATCGAAAGAGAATTAAACTGAGAACATATAACAAAAGATGAGTTAGATACTACCAACCAATCTGCGAAGGAATTGAATTCTACTCATTTGTGTCTTTCTTTGAACCTATGAAGTATTTTTTTTTAATCATGAAGAAAGTAATGTTTTCTCCAAGTTCCCAACCTATATTATTTAATGACGAGGTCAAGACTTCTCAATGAGGTTATTCTACCTACGAGTAATTTTGGTCGAGTCTCATTTTTGTACGAAATGACTAAAAGATATACAGGTTTGACCACGGATTGATGTCAGTTAGAGAACCACTGGAAACCATCAAGGAGTACTTGACATATGTTTCATTCTAACTTGCAAATCATCAGCATTACGCACCCACTGGGGTTTGGACACAGGAGCTTCCCGTCACAAGGCAAGCTCGTATACCAATCAGCCACTGGTACCCGATTCATTGGCCAACCCATGAATTCTAACTTCTATCAATTCGTGATTTAGTGCGACCACCAACCAATGTCATCGGTGGGGCATCCATCCTCACACTTGACTGGATGGACCTCGCTGGTCACGATTTCTCACTAGAACTCCAGGACACTTCGTTCTGAATGCAGTCACTAGTGAGCATCAGATTAATTTTCAAGAGTTGGTTTGTAAGCATTTGATATTTCTCTAACTGATATCGATCCGTGGTCAAACTCGTAAAAACAAATCTAATCCTTGCAAAGCAACTCTTTAAAAGTTGTACGATAACTTCTGCTATCTAGCCTATGTAGTTGTGGGCTATATTCACAGGGTAAACATGCATTTCTTTAAGACTGAGGTTGTTAGTTTGAGTATTAGTGAAGTATCATTAGATTTGTTCAGTGTGAAATTAAGGTATGAAGTAATAGAAAATAACCCTCAAATGTTACTTGAAAAGACCTAGAACTTGTAAAATACTGTTCGCCAGCAAAAATAAAACGCTGAAAATTCAAATTTCACCAATTAGTAAATTGTTTACCAGGTAATCATATAAGTAAAATAAATTAAGAGTGACTTCACTAACAACTGTTAACACAAGTGTTGGTTGAAATTAGCTTAAGATGTTAGACGATGTGGAGTTTGCACAGAATTCAAGGCTTAAAATAATTATGGCTACTTTCTTTCTAACTGTAAAAATGTGCCACTGATGCTAGACGTAGAATAAGCGCCTTTAATATAAAAACTGGACATGGACAGTGTGGTAGAGTGTAGTCCAACTGTAGACCAATTTCACAAAATATAAAATATGCATTGATGCAGTACTGTTATTGATGACACTTCAGAACACAGTAATTTAGCTAACTGTAGAATGACCGACCAAAAGAGGAAAAACTCAGCATCCCCAGTGCATGCACTATTACATAGGTATAAAATAGAATTGAACAAAGCTACAGTTTTAAAAAGTAATGTATTTAGGGGAAGAGAAAGGTTGATCACTGAGTCTTTATTCACCGAATTTACACTAAACACATGTAATTGGAATGATACGACGCCGATACCAGATATATGAAGAATACAGTTACCTTTATAATCGAAGGATAAGAAACAATGCAGTTATAAAAACACAGTTTCGAATTCATATGTAATCTGATCATAAAATAATACAGTATCACTCATTTTCTAACTAAACACAATTGTTTTATTTATGGTACAATTAGAGCCTTTATTTATCTCATGATTTCCAGGTTATCTTATACTTATAAATGTCTCTCGAAAATAAAACAGTTGATGTGTTCTAGAAAAAACTGACCAGGTACTTTCTCATATCTTAAAGTATAAGTCACTTCTTCCATCTCCACCTTACTCTTAGTCATATTTTAATTTCATATTTAGAAAAATCAGATATTATTTCTGCTTTTACAAAGTAAACCTGCATGCTTCCATCCGAACAGAGTTAGTAGGCAAAACTAGCATCTCCAGACACCCAGTCCCGAATCGGTCAAAACGTGCTGTTAGTCACCACAAATTAAACAAGAACACCTTCATTTTTCACTATTCAAAATGTCTTAGTAGATGGAGTTATGTGAGACCAACTTCCCACAGACGTCTTATTCATATCTGTGATATTTCAGACTAGTCTAGAAAACAGTGTAAAGCAAAATAAAGCGATTACTTAGAGTCAAGATTTCTGCTTTTCATAATGCCGAGCCGAATAGCTCCTAAAAGGAACCAGAAAAAAATATACTGCTTCTTTTGACATTAACAAGACAAATAACAACAACAAAATATTGTTTAATATCATACCGACCAAAACGTTCGAAAAGATATTTAATATAGTATGGTATTCAGAAACCGCTGGTAAAATCCTCTTCTTTAACATAAAATTGTATCTTTGTCCATCAAATACAAGTACATAAATCATTTGTAAGCAGTGAAATCCTTTCATTTTTCCTGATACACTGGTGTGACGATTCTACCTCTTATAATTACACTGATTTTGCAATTTTCTTCCTATACGAAAACATTAACACATCCTGTTCCCCGTTTTGTTTACGTTATAACAGATGATAAGTCATTGAAACTACTGAACGAATTCACAGAGAGAAAAGAAAAGCTGAAGAATCAACTGGAATTAATAAAAACAAATGAGAGTTTAGAACAAGGCGTTAAACACTATTCTCAGTCTACAGTTTCTCATACAGCTATAGACGAGCTAAAAGGTAGTTCAACCGAAAATTTAGTTAGTCGACGCAAACTTCGTGGTCAAATTAAACAAATACGAAAACGTGTTCAAGTGATACAGTCCATTCAACAAATTATGGATCGTCAATATGCGAGTCTGATAGATGTATGCGTACAGAAGCGGCAAAGACTGGAAGAAATTTTAGCATTGAACATTGTTTATGAAGAAGTTTCTGACTTAAAGGTGAGTTTTCATAGATGATGAATTACTGCAATAATGTGATTAGTGTATAAAAGTTTGTTATTCAGCAAGGATTACTTCCATACTTCGGCTTTACTGTTTTCTCGTTTGTTTCCTTGATAACTCTAATCTATTATTAATCATTACTAATCATTATATCAATATATAGGAAGGTGTAGACTTCCAGGCTGGGGTCCTCGGGACGGTAAAAACAAGTGGTTGGAAACAATTGGTGACATGGCTCAAAATCGTTCTCAGTGGCGCAGATGCATCCACTCCTTGTGACTTATGATCTCCAATGAAACTGTTTTGTTTTTCTTTATTACTTCTTTGTCTCACGCCTCTGCTCACTGTTTCTATTATGCTTTTCTTGTACTTTCTTCTCTTCCTTCGGGTGCTACACGGAGTGTGGCGACTTGAACTGTCGCACATTTGTGCAAAGTTCTATGTCGAAAACAGACAGACAGACAGATTATATCAATAAGTTAAAAATATTGAATTACACAGTATCAGCAATGAAATTAATTTTTTCAAAACTTTTCACAGCTAAAAAACACCCTCTTCGGGGTAATTATCAGGAGACTTTGGACCTTGAGTACAAATACGATGTTGGTAACGCCTCCTACTCCAAAAGTGATTAGTGAGGATTTATGTCATTGAGAGGATATCAGCTCCTCTAAGGTTGCAGACACACCCTGCTGATGAGAGCCAACAAGCACTGAACCTAGGTTAAGGGCATCCAGCAGGCTACTTCCAATCATCTAACATTAATTCAGAGGGAACCATGACGATTAGTCTCCTTGTTTAGGGCTTACCCCAAAAACTTGACTGACAGAAGTGAGTCAGCACAAACACTAAGGACTGAAAAGTGGTCAACTCCCATTTGCAATTCCATGTGAACCTCTTATGAATGTTATATTCTGTGAAAAGTATTCAGTAGGATATATGCGACAACTTAATGATTTATTTTATCTTTCTTGTCCATGCCCTCTAAAACATCTTCCTGTAAAACACCCTAAATCCGTAATATCCCTTCAAATATCACAGTTACTTTTCCAAAAGAACTTGTTTGCAAGTTCAGTACGGTCAGTTGCATCAACTTCTATATAAGCACGGTATAATACAAGTTCGGTCGGTTGAGGAAAAAATTGGTCATCACCAAATCATCATCTCTTTGATGACATTTACATAAGTGTTACCACATCAATAAAAGAGGTAAAGGGGATTGATCCAATGGCACTTAATTACTTAAATTTCGATTTAAAATCAGAAACAAACTACACAGTAATATTTCCCATAAGTGAATAGTACCTGACTACATGATTTAAATATAGACTCATGCAACCAAAACTATTTTAGGCAACACAGTTTTGTCAAGTATTTGAACAACATGAAAATTAGTAGACAGAGGACAAGTAGTTCAGCGAAGAGTCTCTTTTTGGCGAATTCATTTTCATAGCTGTACAATCGCAAATATATATGGTTATTTTGTGTGTGTGTGTGTGTATACATTAAATTTGTCCAACGAAAATACAATTAGTAAGTTCAGATGAATTGGATGTTGATAAGAGGATAGCAACAAAAGTGATGAGTTGTTAAAAACGATTGTTAAAGAGGAGTAAGTTCAGGTGAATTGGATGTTCATATAAGAGGATAGTAACAAAAGTGATGCGTTGTCATAAATGATTGTTAAATAAGAGTTACGTAATGGCATGAATAGTTTGATGAATGAGTTGTGCTCAAAGGGTGTACGTGGAAACAAAATAATATACAGAATTACACAAGGGTTTTAAGTTAGAAAAATAAGCATACAAACAGAAGTAAGGTCAGATCAAACAAACAAAGAAAAGTTAGGTCAAATCAACGGAGTTGTTACCATGCGAGTAGAAGTGGTTGGATAATTTTCTTTTGTATGCATAGTTCTGGTTCCACCAACCGGATGGCTAGGGCTTCTGCGATGCAAAGAAGCCGGAATCGTACTGTCTTTGGAAGGTTGCTCTTCACTTTGTAGATTACTTTGAAGGAGGCGTTCGTTGAGATGGAATGACCAGTGTTGACGAGATGTCCGATTATTGCACTCCTTATATGGCCATTATTTCCTTTCTGTAGCCACGCTGGATAGTGTTCTTTGACCCTTTTTGACAGGATGCGCGTTGAACGACCGATGTACCTGGCTCCACAGCAACAGGTGAACTGATGTATACACATAGAAGTGGTCATGTGCGGAATCTTGTCCTTTGGGTTTCTGCAGATCAACGGGCGACAACTCATCACTTTTGTTGCTATCCTCTTATCAACATCCAATTCATCTGAACTTACTAATTGTATTTTCGTTGGACAAATTTAATGTATGCACACACACACACACACAAAATAACCATATATATTTGCGATTGTACAGCTATGACAATGAACTCGCCGAAAAGAGACTCTTCACTGAACTACTTGTCTTCTGTCTACTAATGTTCGAATGGGAATTATTCATGAATCAACATGAAAATGACTTTGTTTATTTATGTAGTCAGTAAGTTAAATCAGATGTGCAAACTGAAGCTTGTAGATTATTTGTAAATAAATACATTTACCCAACATCCATTCTGTCTAGTCACCTGGTCACATTTAGCTCACTCGTCAATTCATCTATCTAAGCTTCCTTGTTATGCATACACAGCTAACTGACGTGGCGCATAGTGAGAACAAAAATCATCCAGTCATCTAAAGATTTTAGCCTTGACATGAGATTCTGAAAAATTAGTACCCATATTTGCTATCTTCGATTGTTCATCAGAATATTAGTCAAAGTTAGTCGAACTATTTGTACAGCAGTAATTGTAATACTGAAGCCAATACTCTATCGAACTGCTTCCGTATGAATAACTTCTGTATCTATAACTACTTCTCTTAAATCAGTGATGAACTGAAGCCTAAATATGAGGTCACAATAAAACAGGAGAAAAAAGGAACCGACTCCACACCTAAAATTAATTTTGAATTAATTGAATTCAGTATATATATATATAACCTGGAGTTAATTAGCCATGAAGTTATTGCAGACAAAAGTAATAATAGTCTGAAATTTATTTGTTCTGCCATAATGAATCTTAAAATTGTTTTATTTTTATACAAATTATGGCAACATTTTCAAAAGAAAAATAATTACAGACATATATGAAGTCGGGTGAGGTATATGCTGATAGAAATTAGAGGGAATAATGCGTTTTGTTGTTACAGAATATATGACGCATTTTACGAATTTTAGAAGTTAAATGAAAACTTACTTTTTAAAAAAACCATTCTTTGTAAATGGTTGCTCTCAATCGTATTTTCCCACACAGGAAAGTTAAAGTAGAATGTTTAGCTGCCGTGTTTGTCCATTAAGGTCAAGCGCTTAATTTCAGGGAGATTTATGAATGACGGTTTATCTCTCTACTCATAAAGATATACTTGGAAAGTCTTTTAAGGCCAGTGAGAACTAGCGACTTGCTTTGTACTGGATTTGGACTGTGCTGTATAGCCCGATAATAACCTCACAAAGGATATCAGAACCGGTAAATTACGATATCACAACTGTACTATTCGAATTTTCGTTCAAAATCTTAAAGTCCATGGTTTTCACTACTTTATAATTCATTATGCGACACCATCGTTACCCTCAGTCTAGTTGTCCCTGGATTCCAGTGGCTTTTCAGACTAGTGTCTCTCTGTAACTGAATCAACCTAAAAGTAAATCTAAACCTCATGATACTTAAATACTGAATTTGCAGTTTACTGGAATACTTCACGTGATCCACTTAAAGTCTAGTAAATCGTATGTGAAATAAATAGAAGATTCCAGAATTTCAAAAAAAACTGGTTTCATAAACTGTCAGTATTTACGATCATACAGATAAAAATAAAATGAACAAGTGTCTATGAATTTTAGTAGCTATTAAATAGTAAAGAGATAAATACAACGGAAAGATTGAAAGCTACTCCAAACCTCCTACCAAGAAGGTTACTTTTGTAGCTACTAAGTGCAGAGATGAGTGTTTCGCATTTAAATAATCTCAGCAAACTAGTACAGAATTTGAATACTTTGTTCACTGGTTATTATGAATATTTTATTAAATATTCCCTTGATACCATTTATCAATTAACTAAGAGCAGTTGAGTGATTCACGCTGTTTTATCCAATACCGTGCTAAACTGTTGTACTAATTTTTAGAGAGCTAAAGTTTTATAACTTTAGAAGTCTGAACTGGTCTTACCTCCGTAATTATGAACGAAATCCTATTCTTCCAAGAGGCTTTCAAGTCTGTCTTATCGTCTTCTCCGAAGCGTATTTCCCAGCTTTCATCCAACACTGGTATTCTGTACTTAGTGATTTAGAAGTCTTGATTACTCAAGATCGATTACTGACCAGTGCCTGAAAGCCTGTTTCTGTAGAGCTTCTCTAACTATTGATGATAAAAATTTATTTATATGATACTTTACATCAGTAAAAAGCATAATATTATTTTGAAAATTTTGTAATTTTTATACAATCTACTAGAATTGGCTTAATCAACAAATTCTCATGGCTTCATCAACGTACACTGGTCGTAACTTAAACGAATGCGTACGAATCATCAATCAATTTGTGAATTTTGGTGGAAATCTTTTAGGCGAATCATTTGCAAGGTTTGTAGAAGTTGAACTGCGTTCACTTGATCCTATTGCGTCGTCCGAATATACGATGAATATAAGTGATCAGTTTGTACAGTCCCCTGGTTTTGCTGCTGAGCGTATTGAACGAGTTATGAATATGTGTCGGTGTTTAATATGCACAAAACATTCAGATTCACCACGTATAGCATTTTGGCAAGATATTCTGTCAGAAACATGGGCTGACCTACGTGAATTAATCAATTCAAGAGTCAAGTTATTGGTTACAGCTGCACATCGTTTTGTTTTTGTAACTCGATGTTCAGTAAGTCCTTCGTTTAACCTGCGTTTTTGTATATTTTATTTTCTACGAATACTGACATAGCCAGTTCTTTTGACAAGATAATTTAAGTTCAGATCATTTACCGTTTGATATCGACGGTAGGCACTAAGTTTTTATTTTATGTTTCAAATTATTTGACTACCTACTTATTCGTAAAACAGTTAAATATCTTCAATACAAAAAGGAGAAATGTGGTTCAACATCATTTTGCTGTTGTTGACTCTTAGTGAAGTAGTCCACATTATTTGTGTTCAGTTTGGCTCACTGTGGAGAACTGATGTCGTCTTTTCGAAGTAGGTGACATTTTGCAAAATTTCATAACGATGCAATAAGAAACATTCACTTGACTTCACTCTTATTAGTGACCTCGATGTCACGATGTTCAGATAATGGGGAATGTCGTAAGGTGCTAGTCTAAGTTAATTCCGAACGTATCACCTAGTCTGGTAATGAAACATCCATTACTGTATATCAAAACTACGGTAACACCAAACAGCTGCTATCTACATACACACACATTTGTTTTTCTACCCTGATTAAAACAATCTCTTCATGGTCCGATGGAAATACTATTTTATCTGTTACAATCTTTGTCTCTTACAGGAAACCCTCAAACTTGTTCAAGAAAAATCAGACCAGTTGTGTCAGTCTATAGGCAAGGACGTCCAGGTTATTTGTAAACAGCTATCTCTTTTGTCCGCGTTTGAACAGGATGTACAGGCTCTGGAGCCATTGGTAAGTAAACATATTACAGTGGTCACAATGATTGTGAAAGTCTAAGCAGTATTCATTTAGATGAAAGGCAAACCTAACAGCCACCTGACTTTACCAGCCTTAAACTATGATTCAGGAACCTGCATATCACATTCTTTCATCATAACTGATATATATATATTGATTTTTGAATACAGCTTGATTCCACACCGTAATTTCGGTACAAGTATGCAATTTTCAGCATGTGATATCGGTAGCCCAAATTTTGCAGGCCGACCATAGATATCAGGTGTGCGTCGGCAGGGGATCGAACCTCGGACCATGTGCATGATTGGCGAGAGTCCTAACCACTGTGCCACCGACGCACATATATATATATATATATATATATATACTGCTTTACCTATCTCAAGGCCGAAAGGTGGTAAGCAATTACAACTTATATGATGTTAGATAATTACATAGAACTTGAGGTTTTGCAAAAGAATACTTTGGTTGCATTAGGTTTCAGCCTGTTTAACTACATATTTATGCTGTTGCAATTCAGCATACCAATAGTTTATCCAAAACTTGAAATACGTGATCCCATCCATGATCATAATCTAACTTATATTGCAAACACTGATAATAGAAGTCATTACCAGCAGTATGTTTCCCTCCTATAAGTTAGTCACAATTGAGAAGAAAAACTTACTTACCACCCAATACATCTATATCATTGGAAAACCTGGGAGTAGTGGACAGCTGTTTCGTCCTAGTTTGTGACTCTTCATCAGTACGCACCCATCGGGATTCGAGTTCAGGACCTTCTGGTGGGTGCGTACTGATGAAGAGTCCCAAACTAGGACGAAACAGCTGTCCAGTATTCCCAGGTTTTCCAATAGTTCTGTAACTAATGTCAGCTCATGATGAAATCCTGTAAACCAATCAAATCCCAACAAACCAACACATAAACATCTATATCAGTCCGTCAATCCAAAGCCATTTCATATAATCTTATCAAGATTATATAAAAATTATACTGTTACAAAAATTTACACAAAAGTATCTGTCTGGAAGTGTGTAAATCTCATCAAAGTAGCACGCAATAATAGCTGACAGCAGATGTGCCGATGCTAGACGGAATTAACCATAGAAGTTCTCCAGTATATTTTCACAACTTCGTTCAGCTTACTTTTGAGTTACATTAAATGCAGCAGTGTTTTACTGTCAAAATGGTACACTTCTATGGGAAACAGTAATGATATGACTAGCAGGTACAAAGTGGAACAGTTGACAGCACAAATGTGAAATGCATATAACCAAATACAATCATGATGATCAAAAGTTATTCATAACTGTATAACTTGAAAACTAAATTTAGGGAAAAACATATATATGCCATCTGGTCATAGTATTGTGATGAGGCTTCTTAAAAGAGATAATTAGTTTTCTATAATCATATCAGAGTTCACGGTGTGCTGAAGTTCTGTTTAATTCACGTAAATTACCCATGCAGATATAGAAATAAGCACAGACAGTTCAGTTAAGATTCGTTTTCCGGTGAATTCATTCACTTAGCTGCATGTTCGCAATCACCCTCTTATATCAACATCCAATTCATCTGAACTTACTAATTGTACTTTCATTTGACAAATTTTAATGTACACACATACAAGACAACCATATATATATATATATATATATATATATATATATATATATATATATATGTGATTGTACAGCTATGACAATGAATTCGCCGAAAAGAGACTCTTCGCTGAACTATTGGTCTTCTGTCTATTAATGTTCGAATGGGAATTTTTTATGAAAATTATTTTTGTATGTATGTGTACATTAAGTGTGTTATTGTTTACGTCATCAGAATACATCAAAAATGTGATGAATAATCAAAACTGCAAATAGGGGAGGGGGAGATTATTAGATTTAGACCAGGGTTATGTAATATGAAAACATCCAGAAAAAAATTGGACATTAATGAAAGTACATGAAGATAAGTATCACAATAAATTATGCAGTAGACGAAAAGAGTGAACAGAAGGTTAGTTAAGAAAATGGTGATACTAAATGTCACACGGAAAATGCGCAAAAAAATGATAATATCTGGACTTAAAATTATACACAAGGTAGAAGGAGACTTTGCAGACGTACATACATACATAAATCAAGGTTTTCCATGACATTCGCTAAGACCTCAACAATACAAACTGCACTTGGATTCACCATTTTCAGGAGGCATTGCTTGACTTTGTTGATAACTTTGAATAAATTCTCCAGGCATAGTGACTAGTGCTGAATATATGTCGAATTATAGCACTTTTTATTGATCTATCTTTACATTTTCTTTGCCTAGCTGGATATTGTTCTTTGACTCCTATAGATCATAGACGCATCGAATGACCAATATATTCCACTTCGCGTGAACAAGTGGGTTGGTAAATGCAAAGAGAAGAGGTAGAATGTGATAGCTTATTTTTAGAGTTGTTGAAGAACTCTGGATAGCAAGAGAAGACCAGTAGTAATGTATCACCAAAGAATGTTCTTTTTAGGATATTTGATATTCTCTCCCTAAGATTATCGGCCAGAGGATAGACTCTGAACTCCACATTCATGTATAGCCTCTTCTCCAGAATAGAGATGGTCTATTCTTTGTTAGTTTTGGACTTCGTGTATTTATCTCTAAGCCGCGATTGAGGGCAATTCTAAGGTAATCACTTCCTCAAAAGAGTGGTTTCTTTATCCACTGATACAGAACTGCAGGTTCCCAAGATCCTGGTCTCAAGAGATATTATCAGGTTCTACTAGCAAATAATGGGACCCAAATGAAAAAAGATTGCAAGTGTTGGTATGTAGGGATTTGATCGGCTACAGGATTTCCATCATGAGCTGACATTAGTTAGAGAACCATTGGAAAACCTGGGAGTACTGGACAGCTGTTTCGTCCTAGTTTAGGACTCTTCATCAGCACGCACCCACCGGGATTCGAAACCAGGACCTTCCGGTTACAAGGCGAGCTCGTATACCATTAAGCCACTGGGACCCGATCCAATGGCCCACGAATTCTAACTTCTGCCAATTCACGATATAGCACGAACCCAGCCAATGTTTTCGGCGAGTATTTGTCCTCACATCCGACCTGCTGCACCCTTCTGGTCATGACTTCCCACTAGAACCCCACGTAACTACCTACCTGAATAGAGCCAGTCGCTAGTGAGCATCTCATTGATTTTCAAGTTTTGGTTTGTAGGGATTTGATTGGTTAAAAGATTTGTTGACTGGCTGCTCCAGCTGGGCTTTCTACATACTGATCTGTTCAATCAGTTTTTAACAATAACAATAACAATTTCGCTTTATTCCAGAAACAGTACTTGTGGTACAGTGTGGAATTTTCAGCACATATCTACAATATTGCATCTAATTTCATCGTACATTTAAAAGGAGTATTATAAAAAATAAAAATATATAAAAAAAAACAAAAAACAAAAAAAGAAACAGAAATAACAAAAAAAATGCAAATAAAAATACCAAGTAAAAAGGAAGATAAACACAAATAATGAAAAAAATATTTCAGTATTGGTTAGTGGAAGCTACGATATGTGTATGCGTGGTGAACAGTAACAGCTATAATCATACGGGAAATTATGAGATGTTCTTAAAAATGTTTATAGCCAAGATGATCAGTTAATTTGATTGAACAACACTAAGCAATCATAAGATAAACATTTCAGGTTGTGTTTTTTTTTATTGTCAGCACTAATGCGGTTGTTTGTAGTGGTAGTGTGAGGAATCATGCATAATACAAAATTTTTTAAGATGGTGATAGTGGCAATAACAAACAAGATTGTCAGTTAAATAGTGCCGAACAAAGAACAACCACAAAACTAATGTTACATGATGGTTAATGACGGGACAATTTTTAATAATCATAGTGATAATATAGTCGGACCCAGTAGATGTACAAAGAAGGAATAGAATAAAGAATAAAAATGTAAGCCAATGATAATAATTTTAAGCAGCTAAGTATGTTTAAGAAGGTTGTTCACTATAGAGTACAAATAAGAGAGTGTAAGGGGGAAATAACAAGGGCCAAAATTATGTTATTAACAACAAAGCAAGTCATAGGTTTCACGCTTAACATTGTCTCTGTCACTTAGAACACGGGCCAAATATGGTATCGTTGAGTTCCTATACTTGGTTGTACGAGCATATATTATTTTGTACTGATTTCTGGTTCTACCTGATGAGATGCAGGGAGAGAGTTGGGAATAGAGGGGGTGTTGGGGGTCAGAGAGTATGGTTTTAGACCATTTCTCACATGTATTCAGATGCTTATCCACTAATGTTGTGACGAGCTGACTGAGTTTTACACCGCTAGTCCTACTAACTACCTTCAACATCCTTCTCAGGATGGTATAATCCTTTTTCAGTAACCCAGGAAAGACTAACGGGGAACAGTAAAGTAGAATAGGTAGGATACGAGAGTTGACAAATTGTGAAAGCAGAGGTTGAGGGACTCCAGTTAGTCTGAGTTTCTTAATGTAGTAGGTTAGACGAAACACTTTCTTGGAAATCATTTGGATATGAGATGACCAAGTAAGGTCGGAAGATATAACTAATCCGAGGTATTTTGCATTAGACTTTGTTTCAATTATAGTCCCCTCAATTCTACAGACATCATGAGTGCTTACTAGTGTTTGTAGATCTCGTTTATGCCTAAAGGAGAAGTCGACAGTCTGGCATTTTGAGGGATTCAGCGTTAGGCCATTTAGTTTAGACCACTGACTGATGTCCGACAGGAAGCTATTTAATTTGAAGCAGTCTGACTGAGACTTAACGGGAAGCGAAACAGTCAGGTCATCTGCATATTTGACGAAGTTGATTTCGTCTGAGAGAGGTAAGTCATGTAAGAAGAAGGAAAAGAGAAACGGCGAGAGAACAGCACCCTGAGGAACACCAGCTTCAGTAAGCAAAGGAGAGGAAGCTACACCATTATATACCGTGTACTGCATCCTATTGGAGAAGTAAGAGTGCAGCCAGTTGATAGCCCAGGACTCAGTTTGTGTAAGGCTAAGCTTGTTTAACAAAAGGCCTCTAGGTACAGAGTCAAAAGCAGATGTGTAATCAAGGAAAGTACAACGGACATACTTGGCCCCTTTGTCTAAGGAGGATACAATGTTGTGATGAAACACAGCAGCAGCATCCAAAGTACTTCTACCCTGTTTGTAAGCAAACTGCTTTGGATCGTTTGAGAAGCTTAGGGAGGGAATGAGTTTTTGTAACAGTAATTTCTCCATCAGTTTCAAAAAAGGAGAGGTAATGGCAATTGGTCTAAACTTAACACTATCTCCAGAACCAGACTTGGGTACAGGGATGATTTTAATATCTTTCCACAGAGAAGGTACATTATTATTAGAAAAAGAAGTATTGAAAATGCTTGTAAGTGGGTTACTTAAAATATCAGCACATTTCTTTAAAACAATGGCAGGTATACCATCAGGGCCTAGACTCTGGGAAGGTTTAAGAGATTTCAAACATTTAAGAACATCAGAAGTATTGAAACGATGAAAGTCACTGGTCGTGTTATTAGTTAAATTGAAGGCAGAAAGGACATTTGGAGGGCGGATGAAAGATCTATTGAGAGTATTTACATCAATAGAAGAGGCAAAATTATTATGCTTACCACAACCAGTAATTTCTCTAAAAAGCTTCCATATGTTTTCTGAGGTTTTACAAGATAGTATTGTTTGATTATAAATGTTGTTTAGTCTCTTGATTTCAGATTTAATTTGGGTGTTTATCTTCTTAAGACCAGATTTATTCTTTGTCTTGTACAGCTTCTCTTTTTCTCTACGAAGTTTTTTGAGATGAGGGGAAGAAAAACGATCCATTCTTTTGAAAATTATCTGTTTTGGACAGCATATATCAAGACAGAATTTAAGATAGTCAGTCAAATTGGAAATAGTATCATCCAGTTTGTGTTCGTTGAAAAGTTCCCAGTTAGTGTCATTTAGCATACATCTTAGTTTGAGCATATTTTCTTGTGAGTAACACCTTTGCTGTGTTTTCTTGGACAGATTTGAGAAGATATTAAAGTGAGATCTGCTGTATATCTTAGGTAATATCCGAATAATACAATGATCTGAGTTCATGATAGGAGCACGTCGGCGTACTTCATATATTTCCTCATCATTAATGAACACTAGGTCAAGGGTTTTATCAAGTCGAGTAGGGAATTTAACAATATTGGCATGACCTAATGATACGAGGAAAGAACAATCACAGCAGTTAAAATCTCCTGTGACAACTGATAAAGAGTTTTCAAGATGTGTAACGGCGAATTCAGTGAATTCATCAGCAAAATCAGATAGATCAGATGCAGAACAGCCAGGAGTAACATAAATGTTAGAGATGAAGACGTATTTAAATTTGGATAAGTGTTTCGGGCGGCATTTGACCGTTATACAATCAATAAAGTCATTAGAGTAAGAAAAACATACGTTATTTGAAGTTGACCATTGAGAATGAATGAAAGTTGCAACACCTCCACCTCTTTTCTTTCTGGAGCATAGTCGATCTTGTCTAAACAATGTAAAACCATTTAGGGAAACCAGATTGTCATCATAGAGTTCATGGAGCCATGTTTCTTGTAATGCAACAATCGCCGTATTGTGATAAGTATCAGATGATAAGAGAGACTGGAGATGCATAATTTTGTTGGGAAGTGAACGGCAGTTTGAAGTGACAATAACAGGAATGGTTGTACGATATAAAGGTGTCTGTTTAAGTGCACGCTGCCAGCCAGCGTGATGTTTTCTCTTAGATTTATTAGATGCATTATTAGTTGCATGAAAGTCATATGGTTTAAAACGTTTAATGAATGAATTACTGTATTTTATGCGATTTGTGATCATATTTTATTAAAATTAGGAATGAAAACATGACTTATTAGATGCAATATGTAGATGCAGGAAAAAAGGTAGCCCAGATGTCAAACAGGCCGCCACCATCTCTGTCAGTTTTCTCTGTCAGTCGAAAATATACAAAGTTGATCCACTGTACGTGTTGTACTTTAATTATAGATTTACACATACAAAAAAACCTCATATAATTTCGATTGGACGAAAATGGAATGAACTACTTCATATCAAAAATAGGGGTTGCATGAATAGTGCCAACAAACAGCGTTTATAAAAATAATATTCCTCACAAACAAACAAACGCTTACAATAGTGCCATTACCAGGCATCTCCCTGATACAGGTTATGAGGTGGGAATCGCGAAATCCCCTAAAATGATCAAAATAGCTCAGTTCTCCTCAAGTTTGCCAAAGCAATCTCTATCAAACGGCTGAAACCCGATTTATGTGTTCAGAAGGAAGCATTTATCAGTCTTTCCTAGCCCTCGTAACTGGATGTCTTTATTCTCTACTTCATTTGATTACACAATATTTGGCTTTAACCTCACCCTCCCACGATGTAGTGTAATTTTGCTTGAGTTGAACTCAGTCACTTTTATCGTCTTGAACACCTCTTGCCCTTATTACGTAACTCCTTTACCATTGTCTGCCTACGTTCACTTTGTTTAAACTTGGACTTCCTGTGTAAAAGCTGTATGAGCATAATTTTCTGAGTGCTGTTCACTAAGTTCGGAACCTCGTGTCAGCTGACATCATGTAAAATTTGCAAGTATGTTAAAACTTTTCTGTAAATGAATTTAATAATTATTTATTTAGGTTGTAAGCAGCTGATGCAAAATTGACGAAATAAATGATGGTACCATGCTATTCCGCACAAACTGTTATTCCTGTTTTATTGAAATTTATGAAGGGGAATAAACGTGTGAAGTATAACTTAAAAACTAGGATAAAATTTCATAAACTGGAACCAAAATACTTTATGTCACAGACTGTAATCTCTTCAAATTCGTTAAAATGGGTTTTTTTATTCCTGACCTTAGCAAAACGGCTACTCACATTAATCACATACAAATTTTGATATACTTAAGCACAGGATTTCTTTCGAAAATGCAATGAGTTTTAAAATCAGACTGTGTAATGCGTTGATTATAGATTCATAATACAAGTAATTATTCTGGATACAACCAATATTGAATTGATGAATTATTAATCCAAGTAAATTAAACATATTAATAACTTGTAAAATACCCAGCATATAAGCTGCTGGACACTGTAACACTCTTTTAATACGCAAAACAGACATGTACAAGAACGAAGTTCAGCGGAATCAGTTACGGTTCCATTCAAAAAGAGAGTTTGGCTACAAGTCTACCATTTATTGAAAAGACAATTGACAGTTTTATCCAGCAAAAATTTTTTCATTATTATAAAGCTAAATATAGATAGCCAAAGGGTTGGTTGACATCATTTGAAAGTAGTGGGAAGGAAAATCTTACAAAATTTAAAATGGCGAGATATATGTATCTAGTGTGACGTTGGCCTATTTCATTGCACTTATGAATAATCATGAAGATAGGTGAATGCAAGTAAATCTTGAATCACCCACGATTGTGACTGCTTTTGAGGTGTATTCATCTACTTGTGGCATAGAGAAAAACATTTCAGTATCGCTTGTTACAGGGGATAATTAAATTACTGAAAGAATAAAGGAAATTATTTTCAGGCAGTAGTCAGTATTGGTTTCAAAGAAAACCAGCTTTCATCCTATGTGAGAAAAATTTTAGACTTCAACTCAGCATGGAATAAATAAAATGTTTGTATAAATAAATGAAATATGAAAAACGGGACACATGTAGTACTGATAAGCTAACTCAGATGCTAACAAGTATACCCAAAAATTCAAGCATGATTTTGAAACAGAAGATAAGGATGCATGCATTATACCGCCTGCACTGATAACCAAAGTTCTGAGTTGATCATTCAGTAAGACATTTAATAGAAAGTTACACAAATGTGGCGTATTAAACATCGGTCAGCAGTAAGATGGCTTCGAAAAAATGTTTGAGTCTAATAACTATATTGCACCTTTCACCAACAAAACTTGTGTAGAATGGCCGTTCCACCCGCTTAAGAGTGAGCTGGATGCAAGTGTACCAAAGTAAACCCATTTAAGCGTAATGCCTGATTTGAAAAACTACTCGAATACTGGTTGACTAGTCAAAAATGATAAATAATGCTAGATTCTAAGGGAATTAAGGAAACTATTTTTAAATGAAGATGTGATAAGATTAAGGGATGATAAGAGAGCGGTAGAAAATATAAATCAGGGATGGTGGAGACATCATAAGTTGGTTGTGTCTAATTAGGCCAAGGGAGGGATAACGGCTGTACGAACTTCTTTGGAATGCATAGTTTAGGCTTAATAGTTGGAATCCTTATCGCCCCAGCTATGTATGGTAGATGAATGCGAAGTCTAAAGATTTGGTGGAATACGACGGATTAACTTGAAAGCTTTCGTTTTCTCCACTACATGACTACTATCAACTAAATGTGATAAAAGGGAGCTGAGGATTGTTTTTGTCTGTCCTTTTCCAAATCGCGATGGGCAATCTCCGGTAAAAAATTGGCTAAGCTGTCTAGTAGTACGCCCAACACAACTGTCAATACAAGTACAGCTGAACTGATAAATGCACATAGACGCGGTAAACTATCTAGCTTATCTTTCGTTCGCGTCCTAATCATTCGTCGGGTAGAGAATGACAAACATCAGTTTGCTGAACAAAACGTTCTTCGTACACTCATGGAAAGTTTTTAAAATAAAACCACTTGACAAATCACCACTAAGTTGTAACTTAATAAATAGAGGTTTTCTACGTGTAGTCGTAGTTTCAGATCTTCTGTTCAATGTCTCCATTTTTCTTTATGAAACTGATCGCGCATTCTATCTCCGTCAAAGAATCACGAATATATTCAAATTTCTTTAGTAAGTGGTCATCCGTACATAGCTTTCTTGCTCTGCTCGTAACACATTTAACAACATTTTTTAAATATTTAATGAGCACATAACTAAGGAAGTGTGTGTAATGCTCTGTGAATGTGCTTTTTCTGTACATGCTTCTCCCAAGTGTCCCATCTTATCACCAACTTAGCAAGACTTCCAGAAAATGCAGTTTGTTGTCCTGCTCTTCTTCACAAGTAAAAGTAAGTGAAGGGTGGATGTTACTGAATTTTATCAACAACTCGTCTAGGTTTGCACTCCTACTAACGAAGAAAAATGCATCATGGACATAACGGTAATACATATCCAACTCCTTGGTGATAACTTTCACTCTCCTGTTTTTAAATTTTGCGACGAAGTCAGCTAATATCGGGCCTAATGGTGAATCCATAGCTATTCCATCTACTTGTCGGTGATACAAATTATTGAAGACAAAATACACATTCATTGCACATTTAAGGAGTAATTCTTTGGGGCCAAACAAGGGAATTCCTGAGTCCATTTATCTTCCAGTGATTTCCTCGTAGATTTAATCTGTCGTTTCGATAAATGGTACATTCGTCAACAGTGATGATACATCCGTGGATAATATACGTTTATCACTAATATTAATCTCGGATATTTTAGAAATGAAGTGGTAGACATCACTGATTATATGTGTTTGTGTGAAGTTGCGTGAAATGGCAAGTCAGTCATATCTAAAACTGGGCGAAGGAGAAGACTTGTTTTGGGCACTACGGATAGACCGTAAAGATGTGGAGTGTTGATACTCGTTGGTTTCATAGTCTCACACATGACTGGTGATGACGATGATGACTGATCTAACTGAAAACAATAATCTTCGCCTAAATGTGTTGTTCTAGATATAATTAATGGTAATACTCATATTTTCTAACTTTATTTTACCGAAATAAAACAAAATAACACACAGGTTAAATGGGTGGAAAATGCAGCTGATTGTCTTCTCCCTTTGTATTCTGGACAATGGGTTAAACGATTACGCCAACCAAGAGATAATCTTCTTTCTGTTTGGCATCAACTAAAAGAGAGAACAAAACTACGTCGGATTCGATTAAAACGTGCTATAGCTTTATACCGTTGGATATCAAATTTGGATGTATTGTTCAACTGGATTCAACAATGTCAAAAGGAATTAGAACGAATTGAAATGGATATCTGGAATGTGAATTCACAAGCTACGATAAGAAAAGCTGATAACATGTAAGCAAAGCAAAATGTTCATCTTATTACTATCCGATGTTTTTCTGGCTATTTCCTTAAAATAACTGATCATTTAGCAGTGACAGTTTATTTTAATTAGGGATTAGTTTTCCGTGATGGTTTTATTCTTAGCTGGATGTTTTTATAAAAAATCTGTATAACTTTTGTGACACTTATATCTTTGTTAAGCAATTTAAAACAAATACAAGACATACATATCTCAAGTACAGTGCTGTACAAAATCAGGGTTTCACAGAATAGAATAAATTCGTTATAATTCATTGTTAGAACGGTAGACAACTTAAATGCCAAATATAAGCTGAAATTAAGAGGTTAATCGTGAAAGTGAAATATAGTTGTTTCACAATCATGATAGGAAAAAACTGGTCATTTTAAAAGATAATGTACTCTGACAGTGAGGCGAAGGAAAGGAATATAAAAGAAACACCGTACATACTAGATAACTTTTCATGGATGATCTGATCATGAAGTGGATACACCAAGGATTAAATACTCTATTAAGCATAACATTCATTTCAGAGAAACTGACTCCTATCCATTATGCATGTTCATTGACAGAAGCTAAAGTATGTCAACTACATCATCTATCTTACTTTCTAATCCGCTTATGTATGTACTTTTGTATGTAGATTCAGAAGAGTAAAAAGTGTATCTAAGTGCTCTCTTTATTAAATTAGCACTTTAGGAATCGGCAGATATTCTCAAGCACTTCATTTCTCCTAGCGTTTATGGTGTAAACTCACCAGTAGTCTACTATTCCCTTTGAGTTATTTATAACAGATGCCCAAACACCTTATTCTCACCTGTGGGTGATTTAATAAACACAAATCGTCCTTCGTGTATTTAACATGGTCCTTTTACTTCTTTGGATGCCCTGTGCTCATATGAAAACAATATCACTACTTTGACATGTAAGCTTTGTCATCTGTCTACTGGTAGCTTACTACAGGACTAAGACACTGCCTCAAAAATTAATTCATGAAGATGCCGACTCTAGGGAAGTACGCAATAACCACTCTAGCCAGGAACAGTCGACTGGATACCTGTATTTAAGTCTTGTGGTTATTGACGCTCTTTCTGTAAAATGTGCCTGCAACATCGTAGAAACTGCTATCCCCTAGGAGACTTCAACTTAGTTCATCCAGCGTTACAGTCAGAAACGTGACCATTGTGTCATTTGAATTCATATTTAGCCTCTTGTAGGACTCCGGTAGATACGCTGACTGCACATTGACTAAGGTCCACCTTAATGTTCTTATTGCTTGGACACTCACTATCTTTTTGATGTGGTTTTGTTCTCTGAGCTGGATAGTTAGTTTGCGAAGCTTTCATCACCTTACTGGGTGACATCTTCAGCGCATACTTCAAATTGAAGTATGCGCTGAAGATGTCACCCAGTAAGGTGATGAAAGCTTCGCAAACTAACTATCCAGCTCAGAGAACAAAACCACATCAAAATTATCCACCTGAGCTACAAATCTTCTCTATCATACACTCACTATCATCATGCACTTTGAATTATTATTAGTATTAGATTTCTGGAGACACCAGTTCTTTCGAGGTTGCTTGGTGACTACATTGTATCACTAAGGATTATACATATGCCAATGGCTACACCACAGCGACTAGTCAGTGTGCAAAGCCTTGTGGATGGGCATTTATGATGTTACAACAAAGCTGAAACTACATTAAGTAATAACAGAAATCAATCCATTTAAATTAAGTGAAAAAATACTATATATGCATTTATTTGAAGAACACCGATATCCTATATATTCAATTTACTCTAGATTACTTATAGTTCATAACATGACATTAGATAAATTTGTCAAATAAAATAAATTCAGCCAAAAAATACTACTACTATCTGCTTAGGCAGAGAAAATGAATTATGCATAAGAGTTTTCCCATTGGGAATATTTTAAATGTTTTACATATTTAATGGAAGAATTAAGCACACTCTCTTTTTCCATATACAAATAAGAGAATAAAAGCTGAATTATCAGTCAGAAAGAAATACAGACTCCTACATCGTAAATAATCCACGCCTTTCATATTGTGTAAATAAAGCTCGCACAAGATTTACACTTTTGCATATTCCACCATTCAAACTAAAAAATTAAGTACAGAAGAAATAAATTCCATAACAATTATTTTGCTTGTTTTGGAGGATGTGAACAGTGTAACTTTGTTATATCACACTTTTTAAGATGTATTCATTGCATGTTTAATCTGAAATTGGAGCTAATCTGTGGAGCTGTAAGTTTGGACCGAAATGTGTATGTTTTTTAAAGGAAATTAAATGCTTCGTTTAATAAGGTTGCTAGATTCGCTTGTTGAAAGGCAGCACAGTACATTAATCATATTAAATTTAATGAGTTGAAAATATCAGTGGGTTTCCTGTATGTTCTGAGCTGCTCTTAGATAAGTAACACAAACTTTTGTAACAGTTTTTGAGATAAGCGATTAAGACTTTGGGAAAATGTCAGTGTTTCTGCGATACTGCTGATCGATATCAGTCAGCCGCTTACGCTAATTACTTCTGTAAACAGTGTACTTCCCTGAACGTCTTCTCTTTTTCATATGACTCAATGGGTATTTTCAAGATATTTTGTATTACACTGGAGAAAAATGGCAATAAAAGGCATTGCGAGAAAATAAATTTTTAGGGGAAAACGTCAACTGTTTATTTCATTCCCAGTGATGCATATTCTTCGAGTAGAGATCAAAATGAACTAAGACGGTAGTTTTTAGACCGTTTTTTAGACTTGATTTAGCAACGCCCTTCGCTTCACGCTACCATGTCTTTGAATGGATAGCACCATGAGTTTTGTCCACAAGTAAGCTCTACGTAGGAAATACTTTCGTATTTAAGGTGACAGATATAATGAAGGCTGATTGATCTCAGAATGTCTCTTTTACTCAGTCCGAGAGATTCTTATCAGATATTTCGTTTCACTTCAAGATTATCTCAAATAAAAAGAGCTTATTTAATCTTGGAATCTCACTAAGACACTATAGTTGTTACTTCTTTAGTGCATAGATCTAGTAGCTATCATGCTTTTGAGATGGGGGATGACATAACTTACAAGAAGGAAATTCGAAACCTAACAAGCAATAAATAGTCTTCAGATGTCAGTATACTTTTATAGAACCGCATTCACTTACTTCTTAGGCACTACCTTTACATACAAATGAAGCCTAAAACTTCAGTTATCCTTCTAGAACGTTGGTTGAGGAACGCTTGTCTTTTTCAAATTTGTAACTTGTGGATACGTTTTTTTTCAAATTAATGACTGACGTTCACTACTTTCATTAATCTCAACGAAAACAAATTCTGTTTAGTAATTAAAACTCCGCTGGGCAGTCGGAATTGAAGAAGGTGAAGCCCAATATATAATGTAAAACAGGCTGAATACTCATCTTCATTTTAAGGTGTTCAATCGCTTCAAAACTCTAAAGCATATAGCTCTTACAAGTGCATGAACGACACTTTTTTTACTATGGACAGTAGATGTGATTTTGAATTCATCAACAATTTCATTGTACAAAATATTAGTGGCAATGAGAGTATTTATGGTGGATTTCTATCGTTCAGTCTACAAAGCTATTTTAGATGTAACAACTCAATATGAAAATATGAATATTGTAATTGCGAACCAAGTAGGAAATTTCCCTAAAGATTTCGAAATAAGCGCTTCTTAACTCAAACAGCCAAAAACGCTGAATTATGGCTCTCTGTTATACTGATATATATATATATATATATATATATATATATATATATATATATATAAATCAGCATTCGAATCAATCACGTTTGAATTGTGATAACCAAATTCCAGTTACTTGTAGGAGAATTTCACCTTCTCTTTGATGCAAATGAATAGCTCATGTGTCAGACATTTCTCCTGTATAACCCAGATTTGATCGAACTACAAAGCAGTGTATTGTGTTAGTTGTTATTATTTATTATTATTGTTCCCTTGGGTTCCTAGTGAAACATAGGACTTCAACTGCACGTCTCCACTTGCTTCTGTCTTCTGCTGTACTTTTAACCTGCATTCACACCGTTTCAACTCCTCTTCACACGATCTCCTCGATGTCACCCATGCACTGACGTCCCACTCGCCGCTTTCCTTTCGGCCTTGTTCCACTCGAGCGATAGCCCGACGCGCGCGATGTCACCAGCCAGCGTCCTCAACGAGTGTCCAATCCATCTCAATCTACTTTCTCCTGCATATTTGTTGGGCGATTGGTTCGTGTTTTGTTTGTTCCTTCCCAAAGTTTCTTGTTAGTGATTCTTTCCGGCCCGGCCATCCGATCTTCAGTATAGAGCCAAAACAGCTGTTGATAAAGATCTGCAACAGGCTGTTGGAAATATTCATTGTGACCTGCCCGCCAAGTTTCTCATCCGTTCTATACAGAAAAACTGACTTGACGTTTTTATTGGAAATCCTACCGAATTTTGTTGTTGTTGTTGCTGAGTGACGAGGATTTCCAGATTGGTTTCAGGTTGATGAGTGAATGTGTTTCTCGCCTTCCCGATTCTCGCTCGATTTGACATCCTCGTCTGTTCCGACTGCCTGTAGTTGAGACAATGCTCCCTCCCTAGATAAGTGAATGAAGTAACCTCTTTCAAATCCCTCCCATTGATGATGATTGGCGCTGGATGTTGCTGCTGCTGTTATTGTTGCTGTTGGCTGGTTATTTTCATAACCTCAGTCTTGTCTATGTTCACCTGGAGCCCTATCTTCGCCGACTGCTTCTCCGACCAGTTTGTCGGTTTTCACTTGTAAGTCTTGGATTTTGTGTGACATCAAACATAAATCATCCACGCGCGAAATCCAGGTCTTCTAGGTTCTTCACGCCAGTCGGTCCAGGATATCCCTCTCTGTCTTCTCGTTCTCACTCACTGTCTGGCGCATAATCCAGTCCACCACAATTAGGAATATCATCGTGGGTGATAATAAGCACCCTTGTCTGACTCCTGTGTTTACTCCAAACGCCTCGCTGAGTTTTCCGTTGTGGATCACTTGACATGTTCCGTTGTCGAACAGCTGTTGAATGAGGTTGATGAATATTTGGGGTACACCGTACTACTCGAGTAGTTTCCAAATTACTCGCAGTCAACGCTGTTTCAAAGTCTATCAAATTGAGGTAGAGGTTTGATTGCCATTCTATGCCTTGTTCTGTGATGATGATGCGCAGAATTGCAATTTGGTCAGAACATGATTCGCCTTTCCTGAATCCAGCTTGTTCTGGTCGGAAATCTGTATCTAGTGAGTCCCTTATTCTCTCCAGGGTGATGTGACTCAGGATTTTACTTGGCGTCAACAGGAGCATGATTCCTCGCCAGTTCTTGCAGAGTGAGGCCTAGGTCGCCCTTCTTTGGTAGTTTCACGAGGTAACCTTTCCTCCAGTCAGTAGGCACCTTTCCCTCCTTTCAGACATATTGCAATAATGGAGTCAGCATATCCGCTTTCGTCTCTGGGTCCGCTTTCAGTGCTTCAAGGGGGATTCCATCTGGTCCAGCTCCTTTTCCAGCCTTCAGAAGCTTGACTGCATTCAAGACTTCAGCTCGCGTTGGAGGATTGGTGTCAACTCGCAGTTGTGTACGTGGTGTTGTTGGTATTTCTGGACGGGTTGCAGGTGATGGTCGGTTCAAGAGTCCTTTGAAGTGATTTGCTCATTGTTTAATCTGTCTTTCTTCCTTGGTAATTGGGTTCCCGTGGCTGTCTTTCATAGGTTTCGCTTGTGTTGGTCTCTTCCCAGATAGAGATTTGGTCATCTGGTATAGTGTCCTCAGGTCCCTTTTGCCTACTGCCTTTTCAGCTTCAGTGGCCAGGTTGTGGTCGAATTATCTTTTGTTCTTCCTGGCACTCTTCTTCACTTGTTTGTTCAGCGCTATGTACGTTGAGCTCAGCATCTCTTTCTCTTGCCCATCTTTCCATTGAATCATTTTCTCTTCCACAATTCTCCTCTCCTCTATTAGCTTTCAAGTGTCCATTGAGAGCCATTCGTTGTCTTGTCTCTTCTTTCTTCCTAGAACCGTTGAACACGTTTCGTCGAAAATCACCTTCGGAGAGTTAGTTCCAGTGGTCTTCCACGCATGATTCTTCAGTGATGTCACGTAGTGTTTCATGCTTCGCTCTGACAGTTGCAATGAAAGTGTCCTTCGTAGTTGTGTCCTTCAGTTTTTGAGTGTTGAACTTGCATTGTGGCCTATTCCCAGCTATCCTCGAGGCTTTAAGCTTCACCTTGAATGTCCCTTGTACTAGAAAGTGGTCTGAACCCACATTTGCTCCTCTCCTCAACCTTGTGTCCAGTAGGGTCTGTCTCCACTTTCATGAGATTGAGATAAAGTCTATCTGGTTTCTGGTGTGTCCATCTGGTGAAATCCATGTCGCCTTGTGTATATCCTTGTGTTTGAACACACTACCACCAATCACGAAATCATTGAAGGCGCAGAAGTCTGAGAAGAGTTCACCATTGTCATTCATTTCACCGAGGGCCTCACGACCCATGGTGAGTTCTCTTCCTGTGTTGTCTCCTCCCAGCTTCGCATTCATGTCGCCCATCAGGATTTTGATATCGCCATTTGGTACGTTGTCCATTACTGTTTGTATTTGTCTGTAGAACGCCTCCTTCTTCTCTTGTTCTGAGACGTTTGTAGGCGCATAGCATTGGATGATTGTGACCTTCCTTCCTTTTGAGTTGAACCTGGCTGTCATTATCCTGCATGAGGGCTTTGGCTGCTGTTGGTGACATCATGATGGCCACTCCTTCTGTGTACTCGTGATTGTCGTCTGGGTGACCGGAATAGATTACTGTCTCTCCAGTTGGTATTTGGGACCTTCCACATCCGTTCCATCTGCTTTCGCAGATTCCCAGCACTTCTATTCTATATCTCCTCATTTCTGCTGCTACCTGGGCAGCCTTTCCAGTGTCGTACATTTTACGAACATTCCAGGTACCCATCCTTATTTTTGCTTTCATCGAAAGAAGGCACATCGGCTGACTGGCTCCCCGAAGGCTTTTACCAGCCTGAGTCATTTCACTTCCCCGTTTCTAGCGAAAAATACGGTTACTGTTTAAATTTTTAGAATTCTTAATTTATTGGTACATTGAAGTTTCTGTAGCGATTTGGTTGTTTTACGGGGGTGGAGTTGCTGTCACCTCCCTCTTTATCCGGGCTTGGGACCGGCTAGAAAACTACCAAGCTAGTAGTCTAGGAGAGGTTTATGGTGTTAGTGGAAGTGGTAAATGTTTCGCACTAGTAGGCAGAATGCCACTATCCTCTATGCTGCCTTCATGATTTAGAATTTTTCCAGCTCACTCATTTAAGTCAATTCGAGAAAATAAAGATACGGTCCATTTTATGGCCAACAATATATCTCTGAAGTTTCCAATATTAATGAGAAAAATGAAGCTAATTCAAGCGAGTTAATTAGACAAGAATGGATTGTTGCCCGCCATTAGGACATAACAGCCAACAGTGCATCAGTATATCTTTCATTCAGAACAACTATTTTACACTCATATTTTTCCCTCCATTATTTTTCTCAAATTAAATTAAAAGACGGGGTTATTCGTTTTCAATAGAATAACTTTCAAAAGATATTTTCAGACATTGTTGCTTTTTAGGCTTGTAATAAATGTTTATTCCTTTTTGAATAATCAACGAAGATTTGCAGCTAATCACAGGGAAACACAAATTCTTTAAATTCATCTAAAATCTGTGAGTCTTTTGTGCTAGAAGATCTATATATATTTCATGAATTTGGTCCCAAAATATCATTACCTGCTTACAGGTGTTAGTTGGAAGCGGCTAACACCACAATTATCTTCTCGGTAAAGTTGACTTTAGACACAGAGTTAAACTTCTTCTTTCCACCTTGGCAAGCAAAGAAATGGAACTTGTATTTTCATTCCTATGATACTTTTATGGCAATCAGCTGCTTGCAGAGTAACACGTTTGTTAATGAAGTTAGGGGAGCATTTTTCTCTTGAAAGGCAAAGATGATACATTTAGTTTCTACATAAGGCATGAAGGAACTGCTTCACATCATCATGGTTCTTTTGAATAGTGCTTATAGTCATCTTATTTCCAAGATAAATGTACAACTTCATGCCCCTTGAAATTGAATCACATTAGCGTCAAAGTTAAACCAATCATCTGATGAGAATTAATATCACAGAAGCTGAATATATCAGAGTACTGAAATAAAGATTTTTACAGCGAAAATATTCAATTTGATAACATTTTATTCTAAATTTACTGTTATACTTGTACACATGATTCCATTACTTTATAGCAAGGTAAAGAAAGTCATTTCAGTTTATTTCTGTGCGATAACGAGTAAAGTTTAACAAAAGTTTTGTATTTTCAGCTACTTTATTATGAATTATTTCCAGTGTTTTTGACTAAGCTCACTATTTAGAAAATTTTATCCTTCATTTTAGCACAACAGAGAATATTAAATATGCTATAGGTCAAACACTTCAGCTACAGGCTGAATTGAACGCAAGACAAGATAAAGTGATGTCATGTTTAGATGAAGGTAAACGGTTGAACATTGCCTTCAAACAGCCTAGCGGGAAATATTTTAAATCAGAGTATCAGCAACACCATCAAGCAGATGAACTGAAACCACAGTCAGCTACTCTTTGTACAATGCAAACTGAAGAAGAATCTAACACTTCTATTGAGGAAAAGCAGAGACCTACTGCAAGCAGTCTAACTGTGGACGCTACCACTGAAAAAGATGTCAGCAGTAAATTGTCATCTATTCGACCAGAATATTCAGATTATCACTTAAAATCAGTGCGAATTGACGAGAAGCACGATCAAAAATCAGATACATCTTCGCTGAGTCAATCGACTCTGCAAAATTATGATCATGTTGAAGATGAAAATGATGAAATCATCCAAGATCTTCAGGCAAGAATGACCCAGTTGTTAACATCATGGTATAATTTACACAAAAAATGGTATCAGATATGCAGAAGACTAGAATTACAACTTAGTATAAATGAATTTGCCAGGTTAGTTTTAAAGACAAACTGTAAATAACATGAAAATTAATAGTCATAAATTTAAAACAACTGTTTTAAACCATTTCAAATAAGTAGTACATAGAAATTAGAAATATATGTGTATATGCACACTGAGGAGACCTAAAACGCTTTAGTAAGGCTAATTCTGTTGCATGATTATTGTCGTTTCCAGAAAGAACTCATTTCTTTATCAACAAAAGGACAAAACTTAAATAAAGACAGTTTCTTCCCTATTAAGTGTGAAAAGAATTCATAACAGACACATAACTCCAACTGATTTAATGAGAGATTATAAAATTCGGACAGAAGATACAAGTGTACTTAAATGGAAATGATGCTGACCGATAGTGACTATGATGAAGAGCTGCCGAATTGTACTAAGGTATGGTTTTGTAGTCAGTTATCATTAGATTAATTTATTCAGTTAGGCAAATACTAATTCCGGATTGGGAACAGTGCTGAAATTTGAATACCTTGTACATTATTGTAGTTACATGTCGTATATGGAGTGACTGTCAGATAGTAGGTAATGTGTGTCATAACCCCCCACTGTCGGTTCAGACCTATCATAAACTGTGTGAAAAGATGTTGTAATGTTAGAGATAACAAGGAAAACCGCACTGGTAGTTTAATGCGATATAATGTCCGTTTATTTGAACCATTCGATCGCTTACAATTGAGAGCAGATTTGTATTAAAATGGGGAAAATACAGCCTTTCACCTTAATACTCTCCGATAACGTTATGCAGGGTCGACTTTTCATGCTAAGTTAGGCGGAGACTTTAAGTTATACAACTCTGGCTCTATTCCGTTAGTGATGGCAAGTAATGGAACCCAGAAAAGGCGTTTGGTTCTATTTAACACTCATCAGTTAAACGTACTTAAATCCCCAGCAAACAACAAAGAATTCTGATCTAATAGAATCAGCCAATGTGAAGTTTATCATTGATAAATCCAAGAGGTTTACATCACTTGATTCATTCTGCCTTTGCAACTCATAGATCTTGATTTCCTTCGGAGTTATGCGTATGCATTTCTGTGACGTCCTGAGCTAGGAGTAAACAAACGTTTAGTGTTCACTGTTACTTAGTGGTTCGTCTAGTTGATGTCGATTTTAATGAAATCTATTTTGAAAATTCATTGGCTGATTCAGACAGAATGTCATAAATGTAAAATAAGAGGTACTATGTAACCTCATTAGCATGATTTCTTGAAAAATATAAGAAAGAAGAAAAGAGACAGGTACTGAATGAAGCTAAATGAACAACAAGTTGGCAATATTTGTTATCTTAAATTTCACTGTCTGAACTGTTTGCATTAAGACAATAGGATTTCTTCTCTAGCTGCAGTGGAGGAATTCAACTGAATTTTCATCCAGAAGTGAAGATATGGATAATGCTTTAAAAAATGTCACCTCATGAAATAAACACAGAAATATTTTGAAAGTATAGTACCTGTATCCGTTGATCTACTTGACAGATAACAAAGGACAGATCGCACGAAATAGGAATAGGAACATTTGTAGAAACGGTATCATTCATTTCAGTAATGACAACAAACTGTATACAACTTACTATCATTATGATGAAAGTATTCTACTTTCACTAATTCTAGTGAGGTCCTCCTTCTGTCTGAATCAAAGTGCACACTTATACCCCACTGTGACAAACAATTGCTTTATAATATGATTCCATGTATGGCGAATAAAGACTGCTCTTCTCCTTCCATCGTCGGTGGTATAGCGGCTAGCACGCTCGCCGACCATGCATATGGTCCGGGGTTCGATCCCCGGCCGGCGCACTCCTTTACCTCACTGAGCCAGAAATAATGCTGTTAAAGAGGAAAGGTTGGACATGAGGCTAGCAACCCCATCCTGTAAAAATTAAACACTGCTACAGAAACTTCAAGCCACTAGCTTGGAGCCCTATGTTCCACTGGGAATTTGAAGGAAAAATTATTATTATTATTATATTTCTCCTTCCATCATCATCATCATCATCTCATCCATACCATTTAATAAAAGGTACTTTTGAATGTCTTTTTGGCGAACCTTATCTCATTCAAATGTCTGAAACTACTACTGAAAAAAGTTGTGAAAGAAAAAATTGTATTTTGATAAAGAGGTTAATACGACTATTAATTTCTCTTGGCTTTCCTAAAGTTCTTAATCTGACTGCATTGATTTGCATTCCTATGACTTCCCTGTGAACACAACAGTAAAATGTTACTTGTTTATTTTTTGTGTGTATGACTGAACTCACTACTCTTAAATGTTTATTTAATTAATTCACTAACCTTATTCCGATTGATTCTTGTTTAAATTTCCTCATAACTTTACACCTTTAACGGCAAAATAACTTATCATTGTGTGTAAACTATTAAAATATAATTATACTTTCTTTAACCTGTCTAATTTTAAATCCCATGAAATTAAAATATATCCCTGAGTTCAAGTATTGGTTTGTGGGGATTTGGTTGATTGGTTACAGGATTTTATCATGAGCTGACATTAGTTAGAGAATCATTGGAAAACCTGGGAGTACTGGACAGCTGTTTCGTCGTAGTTTGGGACTCTTCAACAGTACGCACCCACCGGGATTCGAATCCAGGACCTTCTGGTTACAAGAGCCCCAAACTAGGACGAAACAGCTGTACAGTACTCCCAGGTTTTCCAGTGGTTCTCTAATTGATGTCAGCTCATGATGAAATCCTGTAACCTATCCCTGAGTTTTTATTTTTCCATGAATCGTTCATCTGATGGCGTTCTACCCGTATGCTGTATGTGTATGTATCAAAATCCCATAGTTAAGTGTTAAATTTCATGATGTACCCTGAAATTCATTGACATAGACTAATATTGAGAAAATGAATGAACAACCTGCTGACTAATACGTCATATACATTTTTTTTAGAAAATAATGCGTACATTCTACATCAGTCTGAGTATTTATCAGTTAAAATGACACTATTGTTTTCGTATTCATACTGATGAATCTTGTTAAGTTGTCTGAAAAGCCACACTTCTTTTTCCTTTGTCTATGCTTTTGAGATAATGCTTACTCATGAGATTTATTTTTTATTCCATCCGATTGTTTTGGTCATTTTGATTTTGGTATATTGAGTCTTTCAATGGATATCTTTACACCAACTTGAAGTTCATTCAAACACCATTTATATGACTATTACCACAATATGGTAAACAATTTTTAGAAAAACAAAAAAACAGATTCATTTGGCTAGATCTTACTTTGAATCCTAACGTTTACCCGGAATTTTTCTCTTACTCACTATAAAGAAATTACCATATTTCCTAACAATACTCAACTTCTCTTCTGTTGTTTAAAGTGTTGCAGATTCATTGGAGATTTGGTTATCGCTTCATTCATCAGAGGTAGAAACTTCAGAAACAGGAGATTCTATCAAAGAGACACTAACTTTGATTGATCGACTTGAAATACTCGAACGAAATTTACTACCACAAAAAGAAAGATACGAAAAAGTGAAACAACTCACAAAGGTTTGTTTATACCTTTAGGATTTTTTTTATTATCTGAATGTAACACATCACTTATTCTGCTGATTTACCCGATTCTGAAGGACCTAGCCTGGTTTGCATAACCTCGGCCTAACCAGCAAGTGGAATAACTAACTTGAATGTTTCGACCATCTTTAGTAAAGTGTGGTGAAGTATCTGAGAGAACACTGGCTTTTTGAATCGTTGACATAGTACATCTGTGACCGGAGCAAAATATTTCCCTGATCCCATGTACCTATAACAGGAATTATTTGATAAATCTAGTTGTCAAGTGTTGGTTTGCAGCCATTTGATTGATTACAGAGGGTGCCACGAGCTGACATCAGGTAGAACACCATTGGAAAGTCTAGGAGTACTGGTCAGCTGTTTCATTCCAGCTTGGGACTATTCATCAGTACGCACCCACAGGGGTTCGAACACGGGGTATTCCGGTTACGAGTTGAGCTCGTAGACCATTAATCCGCTAGGACCCAACTCAGTAGTCCCAGCTTCTGCCAGTCTGTGAAAAATATTTAGCGCAGCCATCAGCCAGTGTCACAGGTGAGTAACTGTCCCCTTGCCTGACTTGTTCGACCCCTCTTGTTACGACTTCTCACTAGAACCGCAGGTCATTCCGGGTTCTAGTGGCTGAATGGTCTACGAGCTCGTCTTACAATCGGAAGGTCCTGGATTTGATCTTCAGTGGGTACGTAGTGTTGAGGAGTCGCAAACTGGGATGAAACAACCTGCCAGTTCTATCGATCTTTCCAATGGTCTCTAACTAGTGTCAGCTCATTGTCAATCCTATGACTAACATTCAATAATTAATCTGATGCTCACTAGCGACTGGCTCTATACCGGAAGTTACCTGGATTTCTAGTAAGAAATCGTAGCAAGCGAGGTCCACCAAGTCTGGCAGGAAGATGGTTTCTCATCTGTGATACTGGCTGGTGGCTGCGCTAAATGTCTGTCACGAACTGGCAGAATGTGGAAATCTAGTTGTCACTAGAATTGTAAAACTACATCAATTTTTGTGATAATGCATCATCTTGTGGGTTTAACTTCTCAGGAGCCAATTTTTTGCACATCAATTGTTAAATAACATACGGGACAACTTTGTAAGCCTGACTAAACATTTTTTCGCTCATACCATTGTGTATGGGACACTCTAGTCACTGTGAAATATTTAATAGTAATCTACTGATAACACTAAAAGAAGTTTCTGGTAAAGTGGAAGAACTCCGGCTACTCAGGCGTTTTCTTCAGTATTTTGAGCAATATGCTATCAAGTACTCATGTTACCTCTCTCAGATAGATTATCCGCAAATATAGTCTTCTTACTGATGACAGCAGTTTGTTGCTGATGTATTTTCGGCCTACATGTTTTTCTTAATATATTCTTGGAGAACAACCATTTGAATGGATTAATTTCAGAAGTCTACGGGTTTATTATTCATAACATTACTCGACTGACATTTTTGAGTAATATACAATTTCTAAAATAGATACTGTGCTTATTTACTCTAAATAGATCTCTGAGGGGAAACGTCATAATGAAAAGGCTGCTGTCACAGCGATGCTTGTAAAGAATGACGATGCTTCAACAATTAACATTCCTTTTTAACACACATTATCATACTGTAGGGAATGAATAAATTCACAGAAACCAAGTTTACGGTAATCACTGATCAGATTTTTTATTGGATGAAAATTTTTATCTTAACCTCTATTAATTTCATTGCAAGTTGGTCTTACCTTCTGTTAGAAGGAGGTGGTAAATGTTTCACATAGATTTTCCGAAGCTCAAACAACTTGAAGTAAACAGATTCGGTCAGCTGTGTATGGCATGAAACTAGAGATTGACCTAAGCTTTAGCTTCGTTAATATTTTATTAGGTAGTATTGATTCTGATGAGTTGCATATTTCCTAACACCTTCATTTAAGGATTTATTTCCATTAAGACTAGAAATGAATGGCTCAGATAAACGGTTTTACATCGAAAAAAGATAACTCACCACTTCATAAACTTTAGTGATGGACATTTCTGTCAGTCACATGCTGAGAATAGTTCCGAAAATGAGTTTTTGAACTTGCCAACGTTTACCACACTGAGATTCTGCTTAACACATATATTACAGACAATTACATTGAAATGATTATGTTTAAATTCTAATTATATGTAATTTCTCATGCCTGAATAGTCTGTTAGTATTCTGAGAATCTTAGCCGAATTAAATAACAGTGAGGTAAACATTCGTTGGTATTGGTTATACAAAACATACATGAAACAATTTACATGCTAGCATTTCTCATATCTACTGATTATTTATTTATGATGGGTCTCTGTTTTACCGTTAAAATCATATATTATGACGGCATTGCAGTCATCTCAACTGTGTTTCCTCCTGACTAAGATAAGATCTCAAGGATGACTTCAAAGTAACTTTTCCCGAATGTTCGATGGTTTATTTCGAATGCATGAGTACTGATGGCTCAACCAAGTTGCACTAACTTTCATCAACCAATAAATACCTTTGGAAAACTGAACTAGTCACTTTAAAGTCGACTGTTATTATAAATTATGATCACACAGCCAAACTGCCTAACCACTCGTGGAAGCCACCACATGATAGTTTTACTGCTTAATAACGAACGCATCCCACCTAGTAGTGTCACCCAAAAGAAATGTAATTTTTCGGTAGGTATGCATAAGTGCCTGACACCATAATTCAATACGTCTTGCAAATATGCTGGAAATTCATTTCTATCTTATTCACCAATAAGCTACGTTGAAAGTAACGGCTGTTTCCCGTCCATAAAATAAAGTCGAAGGTTGTTTTCACTTGGTCGTTTATGAGTTTATTTTATCATAATCCCATTATAACAAACTGATGTGAGTTCTCTCCCCAAAACTCATTTTGCGCTGAAATGGTAAAAAGTGCCTTTGAAAATGTAGTCTAAACCAAACACTTAGTTGCTCTTTCTTCGTGCTTTATCCATCTGTGGCTTCAATATTTTAACGATTGCATTTGACCTACTGTTTGCATGTTTAAGTAGTTATCGTTTAACAGTAGAATAAAAATATCTTTCAATAAATTTATTACAGTTCGAAATAATTGACATTGAAGAGAATATGCTTAATCAACCAATAAGCTGTGTAAATATTAGTCGCAGTTCAGATACAGATGAATTAGAAACATTTTTAAAATATTACGGTTTGAAGCGAGGTGAGGAGTTAGATGAAAATTTGGATATAGTACGGAAGATGGGTAGAATTGATGATGGTTTCCAAGACGGTGTTGAATTAGATGCCATCAGTAATGGAGCGATGGAAGGTGAATCAATTTCTATAGGTAAGTTATTCATAATTTATACATAGTATTTTTCTTATCAAAATAACACAGAATTTTTCATCAGTCAAAGTCACGATATCTTTCTATATTAACGTTTTCTAATCACGCATGTAGAACCACATACCATGTCTGCTGGTGGGATGAATACTGTGTATCCTTCTGGTAATAAATTAGAAAAATCCTCATCATACGCCTTCGAAAGTTACCACAAAGTACGATCACACAGTGATGTCAATCTATCAATTCATAACTAAATCACAATAGCTCACCGGAAGTGATCATTAGACATGCCTGTACATACACTCAAGATTCAAGAAATCCCCCGAATTGTACAAGAAGGATTATTATTATATGTGTTAAACTTAATTATTAATTAATTTATTTATCTGATATAACACACAGTGAAAATCTCTTACTTACAGGAGGTTTATTCAGACACAGATAATTTTTTGTAATCGTATGATTAGTGATTCAGAAACTTGGAAACTTGGTCTATATAAATTCCAGTTCTTCTTTTCCCGTTCACCCTATGGGTAGTAAAATTTTCCAGGTGTTGAAAGTTCTTCTGTAAATAACAGTGTCACAAAGATGAAGAAAGTATGGTAAATAGGAAGACATTCAAAGAGCGAACAGTAATTCTTGAATTTTTGTCAATTCGGAAATGTTATTTAATTTGATTATAAACAGAAACGAGTAATTGAAGTATTAATGAAATTACCAATCACAGGGAAATGAAACGAATCATAAAAGTAGTATAATCGTGGTACACAAAACTTTTTCGCAAATATTGACGTACAAATTAATCACTGCAGCCTCTAACACGTTCATATGATATTTTTCCTATTAATCATAAACATTCTATCTTTGATTACTTAAGACTTTGACAAAAAGCTAATAACTAACTAGTAAACCACTCTGACTATTTATAAGTAGAAGAACAAAATTCTTTGTACTCATCGATTTGATTACAGAGATAAAATGCCAATCAAGATTAAATCAGATGAACTGTCAAGCAAAGAACAAAATGCATCAGACATCCTGATTTAACAGTTAGATCAGTTAACTTCTATGAATTCAGTATTCTAAAGATAAGTAGTTAACATAATATATGACATCATAGAGACTGAATGAATGGGACTGATGAATATCCTAATAACTTGACATTATGTTGTGAAGTAAGTGTACTCTAAACACAACAACACATTGCAGCGACTATCATCATTGTGTAAGACTATACTTAATAAAACTTTATTTTCTAAGTACTTGATAGGAGTCTATTAAACTTCATTAAGAATCAAAAGACTAGACAACATGGTGTTTGATTTACTTAACGATAAAGTCTAATGCCGTGTTTCACATCGACTAAATTATGAACGTAGAACTTTCCAAGAGTGTGTAAATTTTCATAGAGGTATCCAACAAGATGGAAAATTGTGTGTATAACGAAAACATCAAGGATGAAGGTGTACAAAGGGTTGAATAATCACCATCAGAAGATTGACGAAGTGTTTTTGGCATATTCATGGTGAGAAGAAGTAGACACACCCTGGCCACCATGGGGGATTTTAAGCGGTATTCACCAACAGTTTCCAGTTATCTAGAGTATGCAAATACAACTATCTACTTCTTCCTATTTGCCTTAAACCGGCAGTCAGACTTCATTAAATGGTGCTGTCTTCTTTCGATCATTCATTTTTTTATTTCATTTAGCAAAGTTTATCAGCAAAGTCAGTGTCTTAGCATGCGTGAAATTTGTTCAAAGCCAACGGTGACACAGTTTAGAGAATTCATCGTCTTACAAATAATATGGGAAAATCTAATGCGTATATAAGGATCACAGCTGAACTGATAAGTTAATAAGGTGTGAAGATATCGTATTATACACGGGCATAGTTACGCAGAATGACCATTTCTTTGAAATAAAGAACTATTCACTTATTTGTGTTTGAAATGAAATCAACAAATTGTTTTGGATTATTTTTTGCAAAGGTTGATTATTGAATAAAGAATGTTCTCTTAGAGAATTTCATCATTAAATTCTACAGTTATATATCCATAATAATGACTAAATGACTGTTATTGACAATATTAGTGGCTTTTAAAGAGTAACATAGAATCATTCAGATCAGAATTCCAAAAGTTGTTGGCATTTAGACTGTTAATTGATTATTGCAAATAACTTTTGGAATTCTGATAGAATTCAGTCTGCACCTAAGAGAGGACTAGACACATCACACTAGTTACTAGTGTCAAATCAAAATATCCACTAAAGTCCTACAGGAGGTCAATCGCGAGTCCGAATAGCTCAATGGGTGACACGGGTTCGAATCTCAGAGGGGACATGAGTTCCTTCAAGGTTGCAAATACACCTTGCTGACGAGTGCCAACTAGCACGAAACCTAGGTCCAAGGCCTCCTGTGGCCGATTACCTCCAACCATCTAATATCATCAAATTGCCAATGAAAGTCATTTTCCCATTATTACGGATACTAAACTGTAGAATTAGATGAAGTTATCTAAAAGAATATTCTTTGTTCAATAATCAATCTTTTGAAATTTTGAATAAGCATCTTCAATGAATTACTCTTCGTATTTGTTTTTCATTCCGGCTGCATAGAAACATTCGGTGATTATTTGATGCGAAAGCATGAATGGATTAATCACAATTGTAAATCACGTGATCGTTCCTGGTATGAACTATACATGGTGTTGAATATGTCGGTGAGACAACTATTGGCTTACAAGACGAAGTCAGATTACAATGAATCAAAGTATGTTCTGTGTTTCTATTTTGTTGATATTTTGTATTATTAATACATGTTTTCTGGTATTCTTGTTGCCGTTGGGATTTTAACATCAGTTCACATGACACCTTCAATGCTGTTTCAACAATAACAGAATTAGGTTCTATTTTTGTCATAAGATTACAAGACATTTTGATTTAACTGAATACAATGAACATGTCTAAATCGTTGCAGTCTTGATTAGTCTGTTGTTGTAGACTGAGTCTCAATGAATTTTGATCATTGTATTGATTATCTTTCTCTTTTTTAACCAGTTACACTAAGGTTTTGATGTTGGGTCGCAAAATGGACCACATTTTTCGTTCACCAATCTTCAGATTTTACTTTGAGCTTAGATCGAAGCCTTTTATTCGTCTAATTTTCTGGGTTCTTGTCTGCTTCGTCACTGTAGTTTTTACAAGAGAACTGATTCCATTTTTCCTACTTTCGTTTGGACATCAGTTGCTACTAGATATACCCAGGTCAGCAATAATTCCATAGTACATCTTTTGAGGGAAATTGTTCTTAAAAACTCCAAGGTTTTCTCAGTACATTCTTTACATTCACTTGTTTGGTGATGCATAACTTCGAAAATCCTCTAATTATTCTGAATACCTTTGTACCTCTTCAGGAACGGTGGTGATAAAGAGCTAAATGGTAACTGTTTTAATTTATAAGTCAATAAATACTGTATAAATTGAATGTCATGCCTTCAAAAATCCTTTCTAATTCTTTTTTCATATTAGATAAGTTTATTTTAAATATCACACAGTGATGCATTGTTAACAAGTGGATGGTGTACGCCGGACGCACGAGTTATCTAAATATTTAGTATCAGTGTTTTACCCCATTAGGTGTAGGTCAAAATCTAGGCTTACTAATTCATATATAATGAAACAGAAACTAGAGGGAATTCATTTCGAAAAAGATGAAAAAAAGATTAGTTTTGACATAACAAGTTTGTGTATTGATGTTCCCATTAATACAACTCTGGAGGCAGTTGGGAATGAACTCAAGATTGATCCGGAACTCAAAAGCAGAACTTAGCTCTTGGTTGATGAATTAATATTAAGTGTTCAGTTATGTGTCACCTCCCCTGTATTCAAATTTCAAAAAAATCATTAGAAACAAACGAATGGGGTGGTAATGGGATCACCACTATGCCCAACTGTAGCAGACATATTTATGGACAGGTGGGAACATAAGGCTGTTAAGACGTTTAATCCTGCTCCTAGGTTACGGTGGAGATATGTATATGACACATTCACTGTGCTGAAATCAGAGCATACTCTTTATTTTTCCACACATTTAAACTCAACAGTGGACGGAATTCAATTCACCTCTGAGTTAGAAAATGAACAGGGTGAGTTGGTCATGCTAGACTGTAGAATAAAACGAAAAAAAGATGGTGGTTTAGGTATTAGCATTTACAGGAAACCAACAGACTTTGATAAATAATTAGACTTTAATTTATCCCATCCAAAAGGGACGTCAGAGTGTAACAACAGAAGACAAGAGCCAAAAAACAGATCCTTTATTTACAAAATCTACACATATTTATAGATTTTTATGTACATATTATAGATTATTGTTAGCAGAAAAACACAGTCCTCTGATTGGTTGTTTCTCACTGGAAGTCAGTCTTTCATCTCTTTGTGGCTGTTTCTTGAAGTTCAGATCATCTATATGCCAACTGTATCCGCCTACACAAAGTCTTTGTTCTTACTTTTTTCGCGACCAATATTGGGGACATAAACATTGACGTAAATTACTGTCCACCAAACTTTGGCTAGCAGCCAGCTCTCACCACAAGAGGATTTAAGTAAAATTCTCGGTGACTGTGGAATTCGGGTGGCATTTAAACCAACCAACCAACCAACTTTCACAGAGATGAACTTTGTCGCTTACGGAAACAATAGTCTCAATTAAGAAAAATAATATAATTTACCAAATACCATGCAATTCTGACTGTGAGTGAGTGTGGTAGATCGCGGTCAGCTAGATTATTGAAACATAAAAATTTAGCTAGACCCAGAATAACTAACCCTGCTAAGGTAAATAACCTCGAAAAATTATTGATAGTCGCATTGCATTCACCTGCATGTAATCACTTAAGAGGGTGAGGTAAGATAAAAATACTAAAAATTAACGTAGTTAGGTGGAGAAAGAGGTTAATCACTTAAGTTTTATTTATCGATTGAACACCGCACACGTGCAAACGGAATGACGCTACGCCTTTTACTGGAGATATGAAAAAAGGCAACAAACAACAAAGGGAAGTTGGAGAGACAGAAAGAGTGAAAATATGCGTAAAACCGTTTGACTAAAACTGATGTGATTATTAGCAGCAATAATTTATGCTCGACACCTTGTCATCCAGTTGTTAATAATGCATCATAACTGTGTGATATTTAAAATAAACTTATCTCATATGGAATTAAATTCTACCACACTTTCTCACTCTTCTTAGACGTTTGGATGTATGACTACACTCGTTTGCCTATGCTCTTAACTGTCTTTTCGGCTATTTTTGGATATGTTTCACCTGATAAATTATTTAGTAAGCCCACTTCATTTGTTGAATTGAATTCTTGATTTTCCCGTCGATTGATTGGACCGAAGTGCTCGGTCTCAGGTTGACATGTCGGCTTCTTGTGCAGATGCTTCGACGATGTCCGGGCATTTAGTTAGTATACAATTGGTGGATGGTGGCTAGCAGTGGAATCCAGGATGCGCATTTCGTCCTATTTGGGACTCATCAGCTGGATGTACCTGCATTTCTCAGTGAGTGATGATGTTCCCACCGAGGCTCGAACCCAGTACCCATAGTTTCAAACGCCAAAGCGTTATCCACTAGACCACTTGGGCCACGAGAGCCACCTCTTGTGCAACGGGTCATATTAATTGTTGAATTGAATTCTTGATTTTCCCGTCGATTGATTGGACCGAAGTGCTCGGTCTCAGGTTGACATGTCGGCTTCTTGTGCAGATGCTTCGACGATGTCCGGGCATTTAGTTAGTATACAATTGGTGGATGGTGGCTAGCAGTGGAATCCAGGATGCGCATTTCGTCCTATTTGGGACTCGTCAGCTGGATGTACCTGCATTTCTCAGTGAGTGATGATGTTCCCACCGAGGCTCGAACCCAGTACCCATAGTTTCAAACGCCAAAGCGTTATCCACTAGACCACTTGGGCCACGAGAGCCACCTCTTGTGCAACGGGTCATATTAATTGTTGAATTGAATTCTTGATTTTCCCGTCGATTGATTGGACCGAAGTGCTCGGTCTCAGGTTGACATGTCGGCTTCTTGTGCAGATGCTTCGACGATGTCCGGGCATTTAGTTAGTATACAATTGGTGGATGGTGGCTAGCAGTGGAATCCAGGATGCGCATTTCGTCCTATTTGGGACTCGTCAGCTGGATGTACCTGCATTTCTCAGTGAGTGATGATGTTCCCACCGAGGCTCGAACCCAGTACCCATAGTTTCAAACGCCAAAGCGTTATCCACTAGACCACTTGGGCCACGAGAGCCACCTCTTGTGCAACGGGTCATATTAATTGTTGAATTGAATTCTTGATTTTCCCGTCGATTGATTGGACCGAAGTGCTCGGTCTCAGGTTGACATGTCGGCTTCTTGTGCAGATGCTTCGACGATGTCCGGGCATTTAGTTAGTATACAATTGGTGGATGGTGGCTAGCAGTGGAATCCAGGATGCGCATTTCGTCCTATTTGGGACTCGTCAGCTGGATGTACCTGCATTTCTCAGTGAGTGATGATGTTCCCACCGAGGCTCGAACCCAGTACCCATAGTTTCAAACGCCAAAGCGTTATCCACTAGACCACTTGGGCCACGAGAGCCACCTCTTGTGCAACGGGTCATATTAATTGTTGAATTGAATTCTTGATTTTCCCGTCGATTGATTGGACCGAAGTGCTCGGTCTCAGGTTGACATGTCGGCTTCTTGTGCAGATGCTTCGACGATGTCCGGGCATTTAGTTAGTATACAATTGGTGGATGGTGGCTAGCAGTGGAATCCAGGATGCGCATTTCGTCCTATTTGGGACTCGTCAGCTGGATGTACCTGCATTTCTCAGTGAGTGATGATGTTCCCACCGAGGCTCGAACCCAGTACCCATAGTTTCAAACGCCAAAGCGTTATCCACTAGACCACTTGGGCCACGAGAGCCACCTCTTGTGCAACGGGTCATATTAATTGTTGAATTGAATTCTTGATTTTCCCGTCGATTAATTGGACCGAAGTGCTCGGTCTCAGGTTGACATGTCGGCTTCTTGTGCAGATGCTTCGACGATGTCCGGGCATTTAGTTAGTATACAATTGGTGGATGGTGGCTAGCAGTGGAATCCAGGATGCGCATTTCGTCCTATTTGGGACTCGTCAGCTGGATGTACCTGCATTTCTCAGTGAGTGATGATGTTCCCACCGAGGCTCGAACCCAGTACCCATAGTTTCAAACGCCAAAGCGTTATCCACTAGACCACTTGGGCCACGAGAGCCACCTCTTGTGCAACGGGTCATATTAATTGTTGAATTGAATTCTTGATTTTCCCGTCGATTGATTGGACCGAAGTGCTCGGTCTCAGGTTGACATGTCGGCTTCTTGTGCAGATGCTTCGACGATGTCCGGGCATTTAGTTAGTATACAATTGGTGGATGGTGGCTAGCAGTGGAATCCAGGATGCGCATTTCGTCCTATTTGGGACTCGTCAGCTGGATGTACCTGCATTTCTCAGTGAGTGATGATGTTCCCACCGAGGCTCGAACCCAGTACCCATAGTTTCAAACGCCAAAGCGTTATCCACTAGACCACTTGGGCCACGAGAGCCACCTCTTGTGCAACGGGTCATATTAATTGTTGAATTGAATTCTTGATTTTCCCGTCGATTGATTGGACCGAAGTGCTCGGTCTCAGGTTGACATGTCGGCTTCTTGTGCAGATGCTTCGACGATGTCCGGGCATTT